CGTATAGCTGTCTTACACAACGTTTGCCTGCTTTCTAGAAATTAGCATGTATAATCCACTTCAGTCCACTCAAAAGTTGCCTTTGAATAGTAACCACAAGTGGGTTCTCCTGAGCAATCGTCAAGCCAGGTCAAATTTATAAAGAGAAATATGGGCAAACGCCTTTGAACCCCCTTTTGGTACACAGCAGTTAAAAAATACATTGGTACGGCAAACCTTTCAAAAAAGGTCACTTAACATCGTTGCAGGCAAAAGGCAAGCAGATGCCGGTAAGTTCGGTTAAATAAACATACGTGACTATTCACTGGTACCAAGTAATATAATCACACATTAATCACGCATTAATATATTATTACGGCTTATTGGCGATGCCATTTGACACGAGCCAGTCAGTGTAACTGAGCAAAAGAGCACACAGGGGAGTAGAATTCTCAGACATTGCTTGGAAATTCTAGAAGTTTGAGAGATTTTAAGGAGGAAAAAATGTTGCCCGTGGAAGGAAAGAATATGCCAGATAAAACGGCCTGTTGCTGATAAAGTTCAAGGAAACTCAGGGGAAGCCCATTGCTGTTATTATCAATAGCCTAAGGGTCGCACGAGGACGAGGTATCACAGTTCATGAGAACACCACCAAAGACCTGGAGGTTCGCCCATGATACGCCATTGCTAGTTGTCGAGTTTGCGTAAACAGTAGAACCCACCACGATCGTCAGTTGTCCTCTGCGGCCCGATATGGAGAAGGATGTTAGAAGGCCGCGTAACCTAAGAACAGAAGGTGCGGTAGAGGCGATGGCTGACGCCATCGTTGCAGTTCCCATATAGACAAAGAAGACAACGTGAAGGCTTTCGTGCAAGTGTGCTGGTAAGAATATTGAATGAGGAAACAACTAAAAATAATAACACTACTGAAAACAGCTAGTAGCATGTAAATACTTGTGTCTTGTTATAGTGAGGGGCTTATGGAAGTTTAAGATGACGTGGTGTTGCGTATGGTTGTTCTGGTCAAACTAAATCTTAAAGTTGTCCACGGATAGGGACATTACAATGTCCACCGGAAAAAACATTTAACGCCTGAATTACCCTTTTGCAGAAGATTAACTTTCTTCGGTCTATTCTCGCTCAAGTCTCTCGTAGTTTCAGACGATACCCTTGCACGGTAGCGGTAGTGGCCAGCTTAAATAAGTCGCTGAATGCAAGGCAACAAACCGGTCCCCGCAGCATGCGGAATGTCTGTTTTAGGCCACTACGTAACTGTTTGGAATCCAGAGGAAACAAGTCAAGATTGGAGAAGTGTTTCGTAAGGCTGGTACCCTTATCCTCGTACTAGCTTGGTTGCCCATCGTTGAACACTTTCAAGGGTTTTGTCTATCCACGGTCTCCAGGCTTGGATGGCCAATTCTAATTGGCCGTGACTCCACACAGTTTCCGTTTTCCGGTTAAGCCTCCATCTTTTGAAATATTCACCTACTCCTTCCTCCTCGGGTCTCACGTCAGCTTATTTGGCAGTTGGTTTCTGCTATTGATCCTACGGCCAGCAGGTGGCGTTGGCTGACCTTGGGTGTCGGGACCTCGAATTTATCACCTAAAAAATTACGTACTTCTTGGCCGTGTGTGCTGAACGAGTGTCTGGGTTGGTTAACATACCTTTTTATTTTGCCATTTGCTGTTTCCCCCTCGAAAACGATGCCTCTGATTTTTCTGCTAATGCCTTTAACTCATTGTTACCCCTCGGGTTTGTAGTTGGCGGATGAGAAACCTGGACTTCGTGTTTTAGGTACTGCAGTTGGGTTGTC